GGGGGGGGGGGGGGGGGGCGTGCAGTAAGAGCTGCTGAGCGGCCTGCCCTGCTTCTCCACCCCTCACCCTGGGCACCTGCCATTTAATGTCCTCAGGGAGTGAGGGAGGAAGGCTGGGGTGATGTCTTCAAAGAGGAAATCCCTGGTGCTAATTGGCACTCAGAGACCTTTAGGCTAATTAACCTGTTTATTTATCTCTCTAGAGTAAATTAGAGGGTTTAGCTGGGGAGGGCAGAAGAGACAGTTTGCTGGTGGCCTCCTCCCTGGGGGCTATAGATGGCTTCGCAGTGGGCAGCGTGGGATGCTGGGGAGGCCGGGAGAGGGCCAGCTGCAGGGCAGTAATGACAGAAGTAATGACAGAAGGGCCCATGCCCTGTGGGCCATGGGTAAGAGCTGCCCTCCCCGGGTGCTTTGCTCCCTTTCCCTGTGCTCGATTTGGGTGGCTGCTTTGCGTGTCATCCCGGGTCCCTTAGGATGCTGCTGGTGCTGGATTCTGAGTTCTTCTCCAGGCAGCCACACACAGACATTCCCCAGGAGGCAGGGGTGGGAGGGAGCTGGAAGGAGCGAGGTGGGACAAGTCTATGGGGGAGTCTTGCCTCATTGTGCTTCTCCCAGTACCTGCACCCCAGCTGTGTGATGTGGACACCCCCTTCCTTTCTGCAGGGCCACAGGTCCATTAAGACCCCTTGGCCAGAGCCTATGGATTCCTGTCACCTTTAGTTGGGGGGACAGCTCTTCTTGGTGTATAAGACACTGGGCTTGCATTCTAGGTCTTCTGCCTCAGACTTGACTCCAAGCTTTCTTCCATGGCCAATCAGACCAGTCTGGGGTCTCCAGGAGCTTTGCAATGTTTTGGGTAGTAAGAGGGGGCTTGGCTAGCTCCCCACCACTCTGGGGCAGGGTAGGGAAGACAGGAGGGTCTTCTCATGTGCCTGGGCCCTGTGGGGGAGAGCTGCTGGGCTCTCTTGGCAGGAGGGTGGGGCAGGCTGCTGCTTCTCAGGCTGCACTCAGGTGCACTAACTACTTATGGCTGATGCCCCCTGAGGCATAGGCGACTGAAGGCTGGCACTTTTTGGGTCCTAATCTCTCAGCCCCCACCCTAGCTCCTGAATGGCTATCACTCGCTGGCTCCTGCTGGCTGCCAGGCTCTTGTCAAATGCACCCACAGGCTCTGCAGAACCCTCCCTTCCCTCTGCAGGCCAACCAGCAGGGTGGGGGATGGCCAGCCTGCCCTCAGTGCCTTTCCATTCCTGCAGGGGCCCAGGGCATTGTAAACAACAGCCTGATCCCCTCACTGGTGTGGAAGCTACAGAGGGAGGAGGAGAATATACAGGAGCTCATTCTGGACACGCTGGCCCCCTGCCTGCAGGAGGATGCCACTGAAGCACTGAGCAGCCATGCGGTGCCCTTCCTAAAGCAGAAGCTGCTCAGCACCAACCAGAACATCCGCAGCAAGGCTGCCCACGCGCTTATCGCGATCAGGTGAGGCTTGACCTGGGCTGACGGAGCAACCACCCCCTTGGGTTTCTGCCCAGGCCCAGAGAAAGCAACCAAGCTGCTGCTGCCCCAGTGGTGGGGCTGCCACCCAGCCAGACTGGCCCAGAGCTTGAGGGCATCCACTGGGCTTGCTTCCCCTCGGCTGCTTGTGCCCTGGGGGGAGGAGGAGACTGGGGCGGAGGAGGACCTTCTCTACTAGGGCAACCACTGTCCCGCTTGCCTGAGAGTGTCCTGTATCCCAGGAAACCCCCCTCACTGTGAGGAAGGCGAGCACAGAACCACTGGTGATAACAATGATGCCCAGTGGTCCCTAAGTGCTGACCATGTGCCACATGTTGTCTACCAACTTCACCTGTAGACAACCTTCCAAAGGTGATGTCTCCCTTGGCACAGGTGTCCATTCACTTGCCCAAGGTCACATAGGATCACAGTCTAAGTCCTGGCCTGGAAACTGAGGAAGCATGAAGTGTCAGAGCTGGGAGGGGGAGGGCGGTGCACGTTCACACACTGGGCCTCTGGTCCTGAGGATGGGCCAGTCACCACCCCCAGAGTTGCTGCCTTGGCTGTGGCCATATCCCCTCAGTCAGGGCCCCTCTTGCCTTCCCTAAGTCCTGGCTTTCCTTCATCTGGGTTTCTTGCTAGAGTCCCATATTTTTGTAAGTGTGGCCCCTGACCCAGACCCTTGGGAGGCTTGTTAAAATGCAGATTCCCAGGCCCCAGCCCAGACCCATTATCCTTCAGATTTTTGCTCAGAGTTCCTCTTCCAATGAGGCCTCCCAGGCTCTTCCCCCAACCTCCCCTTGCCTTCTCCACCCTACCTGTGCTCATCGCTGGCCCTGCTGTTTTGTGTGTCTCCCACAAGGTGAACTCCTTGGTGACAGGGCTTTGCTCTGTTAGCTGCTTTAGACCAAGGGTTCTCAACTGGAAAGATCTGCTTCCCTCTACCTAACCCCACCCCCCAACTCCGTTGAGAATTACCTGGCCCAAACTGTCAACAGTGCTGAGGTGGAAAAACCCAGCTCTTGCCTCGGTGTCTGGACCAGGGCCTGCCATGTGCTGGGTGCTCAGTCCACACTAGCTGTATGAATGAATCCAGGAAATCCCTGTAGGTGGGTCCCAGGACTCTGCATCTTTGATCAAGTGCCTCTGAGTTGAGGCCCACTGCCCTGAAAGCTCAGCAGCCTCACACTGTCATAGCTAGTGGCTGGCCAACTCTGTTTTCCAAACTGTGTTCCCATGGAACCTGTGTCTTTGAGGTGTTATTAGAGTTCTACAAAAATGTGGGTCTGAGGATGGCTAAGTTTGGGAAACGTTGGTTTAACTAAGTGACATGGGGGTCTTTGCTGCAGGAAAAACATATACTGTTATGCTTCTGTGGGGCCCGTGGGCAGTATTTCTGGCCCAGGGAGCCCTTTTTTGGGAGATCTTAACCCTTGACTTGGTGGTGTTAGCACCAGGCTCTCCCAAGTGAGCCACGGGCTGGCCCTTGGCCTTTTCACAGTTGGGAAACTCTTGGGGAGTCCAGCACCCTCATTTCCACAGCTTCGTACAATGCCGGATTGAAAAAGTGACCTAAAGTCACCTCATCTAAGTCCCCACCTGCAGTTGTCCCGTGCCCAGACCTCTGACTCTGAGGTGGAGTCAAATAGGTTTCCCTGTGGTTTACACCCCTGGGTCCTGCTCCTCCCCATTTTGTGGCCAGGGAAAATGTGTCTCGTTTTTTCTTTGCATGATGGCTTAGGGCAAGGCTGTGACCCCCCTGGGCCCTCGTCTCGCCTTCATTGGCAGCAGGCTGTGCTCACACCAGTGGTGCTCTGCACCCTGAGGCCAGGCCGTGGCCAGACCTGGACCGCAAGTCCTTTCCTTTTGTGTCTCCCTGGGGCAGTCCTGGGCCTTGCTCGTCTCCTCCCCCCATCCCCCAGCAGAGCCCCCAGCTATCCTCTCTCTGCCTAGCATCCCTTTGGAGGGCAAGAACCAGGTGTGGCAGCATGACGTCATCCCCATCCTGGTGCATCTGCTGAAGGACAAGGAGGAGGAGGTGCAGGCCAACGCTGCCGGAGCGCTGATGTATGCCACAGTGACCACTGAAGGTGAGGTGGGGGTGGCCACTCTGGGACTCCCTGCCAGCTGGGCATGTCTAGGTGGGCAGAGGGAGTGAGCCTCCCAGCCTGCCAGCACCCATAGTGAGCTTTCCAAAACTCATCCTTCTTGTGCTCAAAGGCCAGGTATTGTCCCCTGATGCCCCACACTGCCAAAATCTGCTTCTTGGCCTGTCACTGAAGTCCTTTCAGGGTTTGGTCCGAGGCTCAGCTCTTTCTCTTACTGAGCACAGTGGGTCATCCGTGGCCCATCACTAGTCACTTGTATTAGGACCTCTGTCCCTTCACACCAGGCTGTTCCCTGGGCCTGGAATTCTGCCTCTGATCCAGGCCCATTGTGAGCCATGATTCTTGGCTTGATTACTTTGCCATTCATGATTCTGTTATCCTGAGGTCTAAGAAAACCCTGGAGCCCTTGACTCTATGGTGTTTCTTGATTTTGACTACTTTTCTCAAATTGGGGGAGACAGCAAATAAGAATATTATGGCTTATGTCCCCCAACCCCCCACCCTGCACTCCCAGCCAGTCAGGCTTCCCCCAACTCTGGGCTAATGGAAGAAACCTGGCAGGCTGGGTGTGGCGCCCTCCACCCACCTCTGAAAGCTGTCTGACTTCTCCACCCCCACTGGCCCGCACTTACCTGCACCAGCCCCTGCCCTGTGTTTCCTTTCTGTTCCATGGAGGACTGTCTGGGCCTCAGATCTGCAATCAGTATGCTGCAAGGCCTCCCAAAGACAGATCCTCCCAGCCACTCCCCACTGGACTCTTATGGTGGAATCTGAGACACAGACAGGGGAAGAGGTTGGGGCCTTTTCAGAGTCCACAGCCTCCTTTTGATGTGTAGTCAGGATGCCAACTGCATGGGGGGCAGGGGATCCCCCTGTGTGTTTATCTCGGGGCATCCTCAGTGCAGTGTCTTTCTCAGCTCAGGCTTCCTGTGGGAACACTTGGAGGCTCACTGGGGGCCCAGGCAATGGGCAGACACAAGAGGCCGGAACCCAGGGATGTGAGACCACTTATTCCCGAGCTGCCACTCTAGAGAAAAGTCCCTGAGCCTCTGCCATGTGCCAGGCCCTGTGCTGGAGAGTGGGGACACAGAGGTCTTGGCCTCAGGTATCTACAGTCAGCAGGAGAGGCAGTGATGAGTGACATGGAGGAGAAGCACAGCCTGCAGTGGGGCACCCAATGGGCCAAAGAACAATGAGAGCTAGCAGGGCAGAGGCTAAGTGGTCCTGGCAGCAAGGAGTGAGTTCACTGAGCCCTGCAGGAGGATCCGTGAGGACAATGGGAAGGGGCTGCAAAGGGTTAAGGAGGGCATCTCCTTTACACATTAATGTCTGCGTTCCACCATACTGGAAGTGCTGTGAGTGCGCGAACCATGTGCAGAATAGGTGCTCAAGAAATATTTGCCACATAAACGAACGATTGGATTTACACTTTAAAATGACCATTTATGTTGCCTTATGAGGACTGGACTGGGACAGGAACAAGAGTGGATGGGGAGAAGCCAGTTGGGGGCTGGAAGGGTATGAGACCAGGGACCTGGCCCAGGCTCATCTCAGCAGAAGGGTACAAGAGAGGTGGGGGTGAGTGAGGGAGCCTGGGTCCAGGGTGGCACCTCACCTTGAGATTGCACAGACAGGAGGGTGGGGGGAGGGCTGGGGGGTGAGAGGAGGTGAGGAGAGGGTCCCTGGGGTAGCAGGCCATTAGGAATGCCTGTTGTTGCTGGCCTGCAGGGAAGTATGCAGCGCTGGACGCAGAAGCCATCCAACCACTCCTGCAGCTGCTGTGCTCGCCCACGAAAAAGGTGCGCCTGAATGCTACCAAGGCCCTCACTATGCTGGCTGAGGCCCCCGAGGGCCGCAAGTTACTACAGGCCCACGTGCCAGTCTTCCGTGTCCTTAAGGAGGAGTCCAATGAGGTTGTACAGCGGGCGGCTCAGATTGCCATCCAAGTCATTGAATGGAAACCCTGAGCTCCTCATTTGGCCAGACGTGATAAGCCACTCCAAGCCTGAATAAATGGGCTCAATCTCTTTAACTTGTGTCCAAATGGCACTTTGTGTTCCTGGGGCATGGTCACATCTCCTCTCTTTCCTGCCACAGGGGAGACACCAGGCCCAGAAGGACTGGGTCCCAGGTGGCACAGGCTGAATTCAGGACCAGGGATGGGTGGGAGATGGCCTTAGGAGCTTTGCTCTCTTCTGCGGCCAAAAGTCCCCTCAGAAGGTAGAGAGCAGGACTGAGCCCTCCAGGGACAAGGGTGGGGTCAGGAAATTGGGTTGGGGGAAGGAAGGAACATAGTTGGACCAGGCACCACCCACGCTTCAGACACTCAAGTGACCAGGCCTTTGGGGTGTGGTGGGGCATAGCACTGCTCAGCCAGGTCTGTCCCCTTCGCACGCTAGGTGGCAGGAGGAAAGGTATGACCTGATGTCAGCTCTTCTCACGGAAGTGTGAGTCAGTTGTAAGAGGCTCCCCTAAGGATGAGCGCTCAGAACAAGGGTAGATTTTAGTTTCCTCATTAAGATCTTTCCCCTAAAGCAGCTGCATTCTTCTCCAAAGCAAGGAGGTCACCCGAGTGTGCTCTAGCCAGCCTGAAGCTGACCTCAACCTTTACCTGCTCCGACTCAGGCAGGCCCCAGGGCAGTCCTCTGGTGAGCCTTCCACCTGTGCCGCCACCTGCTGCTTCTCCTCCTGTAGTGAAACTGGCTAATGAGGCTGGAGAGCTTAGGGAAGCAGAGAGAGGTGGGCTGAGAGGACAGGATGAGGAGAAGGCAGGCTGCAGGGGGTTGTGAGGGATATGAAGAGGTTCAGGAAATGGACAGCCTCTTAATCTCCCCCTTACCAATCCCTGCCTCGTTGGGCAAGGTGATGGTTTTCCTAGTTTTGGGGAGAAGCAGCCAGTCTGACCTCTGTTGGAGGAGCTGTGGGAGCAGAGCTCATCTTCAGGGCTTGGCCCTTTCACTCTGGGGCTGAGCTAAAGCCTTATTCTTTCCCCAGGAGCTTTTTTTTTTTTTTTCGTGTCCGGCAACGGATCGCAACCCTCAGTGTCGCGCCCGTACCGGACCAGGACCAGCAACGGGATCGCAACCCTCGGTGTTGCGCCCGCACCTCGCTCAGCCAGTGAGTGGGAACTGGTCTGTATGTGGGATCCGAACCCTCGGCGGGAGCGCCGCCGCGCTTCCCAAGCGGCGCACTGTAGCAGTGCACCACCGGGCCGGCCCTCCCCAGGAGCTTTTTGAGGCCTCCTGCCTCAAATGAGGTTTATCCGAACCCTCGGCGGGAGCGCCGCCGCGCTTCCCAAGCGGCGCACTGTAGCAGTGCACCACCGGGCCGGCCCTCCCCAGGAGCTTTTTGAGGCCTCCTGCCTCAAATGAGGTTTATCCGAACCCTCGGCGGGAGCGCCGCCGCGCTTCCCAAGCGGCGCACTGTAGCAGTGCACCACCGGGCCGGCCCTCCCCAGGAGCTTTTTGAGGCCTCCTGCCTCAAATGAGGTTTCCCTCATTCATATCACCAACCAGTTGTATTTCCTATGGGATACCCACTCCTCCCAGAATATACATTATCAGCAAAACCAGATCCCAAAGGGAGCCTCTTTTTGCAGTCCTTTCAATAAACTCCCAGAGCCCTCACTTTCCTGGAAAAAACAGAGAGAAGTTTGTGCCCTTGGAATTAAAAGATGAGCCCAAGTAGGCCCTCTTGTTCTGAAAGGGACAGGCTGCTGGGTCCAGCTGGGATTTAAAGTTCAGTCCCATTCTTAAAAAAGGCCCTGTAAGAGAAACTCTTTCCTCCGTCAGGAAAACAGGAGCTCCAGGGGCTTTAACTTCCTCATGTCCCAATCCTGCCTCAACCCACAGCAGGCTGGCTCCACCCCTACCAAGGCTCCAGTCAAGGTCACTAACCTTCCTGCTGCCAAGACCCTGTACTCTCGGTCTCTTTTGTAGAACCCTCTTTCTCTACATGACCTGTGTGTTGGTGTTTCTCGTGGCTCTGCTCCAGGCCCTCTCTTCTCCCACTTTCCTCATACGATCTCATCTGCCTGGCTGTGGGCCTCCTCTACCTTTCTTAGCTGGGCCTGACCTCTCTCCTGTCTCCCCCAAATCTGGGTTTCTAGCTGCAACCTCTCTCCTGAGATCTGGACCCTTATATCTCACTTTATCCTACTTAATATCTACCCTTAATTGTCTCTAGGCAAAACTTAACATCAATCCTTTACAAACTGTTCCAAAAAATGAAGAGAAGGGAACAGTTTCCAGCTTATTCTCTGAGGTTAATATTACCCTGATAGCAAAACGAGACATAGACACCACAAGAAAAGAAAACTACAGACCAATATTCCTTATGAATACAGACAGAAAAACTCAACAAAATATTAGCAAACCAAATCTAGCAACATATAAAAAGCGATGTACACCATGACCAACCGGGATTTATCCCAGGAATGCAAGGTTGGTTTCACATGTGAAAATCAATTAATGTAATACACCATAGGGGCAGAATAAAGGACAAAAGTCACATGATCATCTTAATAGATACAGAAAAAGCATTCAATAAACTCCAACACCCATTCATGATTAAAAACAAAAACAAAATCTCAGAAAACTAGGAATAGAGGGGAACTTCCTCAACACAATAAAAGACATCTGCAAAAACTCACAGCTGACATCATATTCAATGGTGAAAAACTGACTGCTTTCACCCTGAGATCAGGAACAAGACAAGGATATCTGCTCTTGCCACTTCTATTCAACATCATACTGGAGGAAGTAGCCAGGGCAAGTAGGCAAGAAAAAGAAATAAAGGGCATACAGATTGGAAAGAAAGAGGTAAACTATCTCTATTCACAGATTACCTGATCTTATATACAAAAATTCCAAAGGAAATACACTTAAAAACTATTAGGACTAATAAACAAGTTCAGCAAGGTTGCAGGACAGAAGATCAATACACAAAAATTAACTGTATTTTTATACACTAGCAATGAACCATCCAAAAATGAAATTAAAAAAAAATTTATTTACAATAGCATCAAAAAGAATAAAATACTTAGGAATAAATGGAATGAAGTACAAGATTTGTGCACTGAAAACAAAACACTGTTGAAAGACATTAAAGACCTAAAGAAATGGAAAGATATTCCATGTTCATGGATCAGAAGACTTAATATAGTCAAAATGGCAATAAACGTTTTCATGCAGCTCAAACTCAACATTTTGGAAATGGACCTCATTTTTCCCCATATCTGCTCTTTTTCCAGTGCAGCCTGTTTCTGGAATTGTTGAACCCTTTGTCCATGTGCTCAAGCCAGAGAATCCCTCAGGCTCCTCCCTCCAGGATTCCCCTTCTCTTTGCCTCTCTGCCACTAACTTGCCTGTGCTGCTCTAGCAGTCTCCTGGTGGGTTTTCCTGCCTCCCTTTCATCTTTTCAGCAGCAGCCAGCAAATCTGATCCTTTCACTTCTCTGCCTAAGCTCCCGGGCACGTAGGCTCCCAATGCATACAAGGCCTGCTGGCCAGGCCTCTGCCTCTCTTCCTCCCCATTCTCCCATGAACATGCCATGTCTTGCATCCTCAAACATGCCTTGCACTCCTGCCTCATGCCTTCCTACACTCAGGCCTGTTTACTACCAGCTAACCAACCTCCTCTTTCCCTGACTCTGAGACGCAGTGGAGCTCCTTGCTGGGCATTCCTGCTGTGCACACCCTGCATGGTGGGCTGTTGCAGGCCTTGTGCCCACCCCCTGTTTGCTAGGTTCCTTTGCTAAGCCTCAGTCTCCTCTCCTGTGAAATGTGGTTAATTCTAGTCCTTCCACAAGGGTAGTTTTGTGGCTTGAATGTTATAACACCCGTACCCTGGGCACGAAAACAGCAGGCCACATGAAATGCTTGCTATCACAACTATTGTCTCTCTGTTTTCCCCCATAAACCATAAGCTCTGGAGAGCAGTTCCCATGTGCTCTGTTCACAGCGATTTCCTTGGAGCTCAACAAGGTGACTGGCACATAGTAGGCCCTCAAAAATATAAGCTGAAGGATTAAAGAAGGGATGAGCGCTGGTCATGTGAGTATGCCTTCAGAGTGTGGCTTTCATGATGCTTTCTGCACCTCCCCAAATCTCTTGAAGGCACCCAGAACTTTTCCTAAAGACACAAATCATTTATTTTGGTCTGAGAAGAAAGAAGGGGAGGTTTAGGGAGCCCCTACAAAAACACAGCCCAGGGGTGGTGTATATCTGATTGCTAAAGGGAATCTAACCCACAGGCCCAACTCCTAATAATATCCTGGTAGCAGGCAGACTGGGAACGTGACTGTGCAGAGCTCAGCATGGAGGGAGTTTCCTCTCTGCCTGCTCTCTAAGGATGTGGCACAGCAGAAGTCAAACAGTGTTGAGACTGGGGAGGCCTGTTCTGTTGGAGTGGAGACTGCCTCAGCCCTGTCCCTGGGGCAGGCAGGTCAGGGCAGCTGTTGCTCCATGGCCTGTGTGGTCATCAGTGCTGGGCACAGCATCTGCCGGGAGAGCCCTGGGGGGTGGGGGGGTGAGGAGGCGGCATCTTTGCCAGCAGGGCCATTCTCTTAAAAATCAAGAGAGAAGGAAGCAGCAGAGGTTGGGTATAGGAAAGAAATGGTGACAGTGAAGTAAACAAGCAAAAGTCCCAAATATATCTAAACATAAAGAGCCAAAATTAAATTTAAAGAGAAAGTCAGTGTTTATGCACTAGAGCCATTTGGAGAAAATGACTCATTTCGTACAGGAACAGATGTTCTCATTTGCATAGTCTCTGTAATCACGAATGGACTTCGCTCTGTCCTGTTGCACGGCACACATGCCCTGCAGCTGGTGGCACTTGATGCATGACACCAAGGGAGCATTTTCATTAGTGTAATCCTTGGCTCCATATCCGTGGGTCTCCCAGTAGGAAATGCTTCATCCCCTTCCTGATGAGGGAGTCTGGAAAAGGCAGCAGCTGTGCCTCCCTCCCAGACACCTGGGGCCTGAGCTGAGCTAGGCATAGTAGATGTAGCCGAAAATCACGAGTGCGAGCAAGATGATCCCGTTGGTATTGACAATGTACCTCCAGAGGGGCTTCTCCAACATGTCACCCCACTGTGCATCTTCCGTCTTCTCCTCGGTCGCCTCCATCTTCCCGGTTGTCTCTTCTAGGGCCAGTGCCTCTGCACCTTCTGACATGCCACCCTGCTCCATCTTCTCAGTTGCCTTTTCTGGGGCTAGTTTTGGGCCCGGCTGTGGCTCCAGGCCACAGAAGAGGTCCCAGGCCTTCCAGGCGCAGTTCTGGGCCTTGTTTAACACATCTAAAACAGAGGGAATAGGCAAAGGTCAGGAGGCACATAGGCCACGACACAGGAGGGAATACATTGTAGGAAGTCATGCCTCTGCAACAAGTCCAGTGTGAAGACCAAGGGACTTGCTCCTAATATGAAAGAATAGTCCTTGGTTCCTGGCTGTGGAATGCCTACAACCATCCTCAGAGACATGACAGAGCCAGAGTGGGACGTAGGACTTGGGGAGTGCTCTGCAGGTGGAGTGGGGCTGCAGAGCACTCAGCCATGCCCAGATCCCCCTGACTGGGCAGCAGAGGTAGTGTCACAGGAGTGCCACCCTCCCTGTGTGCCCCCAGTGTGCAATGGCAGCGCCCACCCTTCCCAGTCTCTATAGGTCTAGGGCAGGTGGCTGCTGCTCCTCTGAGCACATCTCCATCCACCTCCCCTGCCCCCCACCAAGTCACTACTCTTCAGAGGGCCCAAGTCCTGGAAATAGTCATTGCTCTTTGGCAAACCCTTGGGGAATGTCCTCTTGAGGCAGCTTGGCCCAAAATAAGGCTCTCCCTGGGCCATTGAAGCCACATCCCTGGTGTTGCCCTGGAGGGCAGTCTAGGAATTACAGGAAGGTTGCCATTCATTTCTCTAGGCCAAATGTGAAAATGCCTTAACTGTGGGGCTTGAATGTTACACCACTGGTGTCTCTGTGTGGTTCACATTGGCCTGCCCCCTGGGGGCCTGCTCAGGTTCGGGTCAGCACCACGGTCAGCTCCGGCACATTGGCGTGGGCCCAGCTGTGGCCTGGACTGTGATCTCAGAGCACTCCTGGAAATGATTCCTTTCTGGATGACAAGACAACCCCAGTTCAGTCAGAGTGGGCTCCCAGCACTGTGTGCTGTGATGTCTTCTGTGTCTCATCCTGTGGGACAGCCTCCTTGCCAGTGTCTCCTTGGCTCCTGTCTCGGCAGCTGAGGCTGAGGAGGCACCAGGGATGATAGAACCCATCAGCCATAGACAGAGGAGCCTCTGTTACAAGGAAAGGGGGGTCTGTAGCTGGAGGACCCCAAAGCTAGGGACACAGATATCAAATGTTGGGGCTGAGAAATCTTGAACAACACATTTTTGCTTCTGTTCTCAAATGCCCATGTTATCACACTGTCATGTAGCTTCCAGACCCAAGAGGTTGCTGGGAGAGGTGTAGGAGCCAGTATGGAAAAGGCAACTGGTCATACAACCACACCCCAAAGGTACAACTCTTACCCCAAATAGTCAAGGCCGAATAGTGGGTAGTGGGATAGCCCAGTGGCTGGGAGCCTACACTTTGGAGTCAAACTGCTTATGTTCAAATCCCAGCTCTACCACTGACTAATCTTCTGTGGAGCCAGGGCAAGTTACTTAACTGCTTAGTGCCTCAGTTTTCCCAGCTCCAAAATGGAGGTACTAATCGTACCTATCACATATGGGTATAATTTTGGCAGTGCCTGGCACATTGTACTGAGAACAACTGTCTAGCACATTGCAGATACCTACCAAGTCAGTTTACCACACCCCCCTTAGGGGAGAAGAACCATCAGCAGGCATCAGAGGGAGCCTGCAGCCCTGCATCCTCCAGGTGCACAGGGTCCTATGCCTATCAGAGGCCACTCCCCCACCCCACAGAAGTCTAGGGAGCCCACCCTGACCAGGTGCACATCTCCTGCAGGTGTCAGGAGGGAGTCTGGGGCCTCTCTGGGCTCTGAACTTCCCTGGCAGGAGTGTAGAGGGGGCCACAGAACCCTGCCTCTCCCCAGCTAGCCCTTCCCCCACCACACCCACAGCCTCATCCCCCTCTCTGCCCCAGACTCCGGACTAATCTCATTATGTCCTTTATCCCTGTTTGCGTCAGGGACCACAAGAAGCTCAGGTCACTCTCCCCCCGTGGCCCTGAACACTTCTTTTCTGACTCTATCTGCTGAAACCCCTCCTGTGAGCCCTCTAGAGACCCCAGGGCCTCAGCCTCTCCCTGGAACATTCCCTCCCTTCTTGCTCAGACTGAAACCTAGCTCTCCCGCAGACCTGGTCCCTCTTACGTGGGGCTACTTGTCTCCCTTCCTCCCCCTCACACCCCCACTGGAGATGGGCAGGTCCTTACAGACAATCCTGCCCCCCTTCCAAGTAGCCCTTGAGTTTGGAATCCCTGCATATAGCTCTGTGACCACCAGCCCTCTCTCCTCCTGGGCACTGCGCCACCTGGTTGCTCTCATGCAGGCACATGGTCTCATTGTGGCTGAATTCAACAGCAGTTCTCAGGCCTTGTCTTTCCTCGCCCATCAGCATTTGCCTCAGTGGGTAAATGGGTCGCCCTGCGCCCCCCGACTTGAAACGCTTTCAGGACACCACATGCTTCTGATTTTCTGCCCCTTCCCTGGCTCCTCCTCATTGCCTGGGGTGCCCCTTGCTTCACTCCCAGACCTCCTCTCCCTGCTACACCCCACTCAAGGGGCCCACTCAGTGTATCTGCTGCTCTCTCCCATATTCACCCCTCCAGCCCAGGGGCCAGCACAACCTCCACACACCTTAAATATTCCTAGGACGCATCTTAGGAAAAATGAACCACTCAAGGGGCCCACTCAGTGTATCTGCTGCTCTCTCCCATATTCACCCCTCCAGCACAGGGGCCAGCACAACCTCCACACACCTTAAATATTCCTAGGACGCATCTTAGGAAAAATGAAAGAGAGAGCCTCTGCCTGGCATAGCATTTCTGAGGGTGAAGACTGGGGTAGAGGGGTACTGGGGCGGCAGCCCAGGCCATGCCTTCCCCAGAGCACTCCGCATGGGAGCCCTACCCAGGGCTTTGGATCTTCCTTCTCACCTGGCTGTGCTGGGGGCTCAAGAGGTTTCTTTCTTTGTGTCTCTGTGTCCAGATCTACCCTTTCCTCTGGGCTGTTTCGTAAACTCCAACACAGCCGGTGGAGCTGGGGAGGGAGAGCAGTGGCACATCACCACCCAGAGCCCTGCCATGTGGGCCACACAGTACCATGGCCACAGCTGGGCACCAGGGTCTCCACAGACTGAAAAGAGATCTGGTTGTTAAATTCCAACAAAAGATGGAAGGAACATGGGGTGGGCAAGTTTAGGAATCAGCAACTCTGGATTTTAGTTCTGGCTCTGGTACCATGTGATTGTGACTTCGGCAAAGGGTGATACAACCTGTCTGGGCCTCAGTGTCCTTCAGCTGTAAAGTACGGGGTTGGAGGTCATAGGCTCGAGGCTCCTTCCTGTTTTGAGGGTCCAGGAACATACCTCCTCAGAGTGGGAGAAGCTGCACATCACCGCGAGTCTACTTCTTCTGGTGGCATGGAGCAAAGCCCTGTCATCCAGGTGAGCAGGACAGGGCAGACCCAGGGCTGCTTTCATTCCAGAAGCCCTCTGCTGGACATCAGAGACAGCATTAATTCAGCCCAGGAGAGGCTCTACCTGGCCCTGGGGCAGAGCTCCACTGCTCCAGCTCAACAGGGCATTTGCAGATGCCCAAGACGGACACTCCCTTTCCCTTCTGGTTTGTGATTTTTTTTTCTCTTCCTAAAAACATATGTGGAAACTTTGGGAAGTAAGAAAACTTTGGGAGGTAACAAAACCCAATTGTTGTTGCTGTTTTTTAAAGGGTTCGGTTAGCAGAAGCACAACTAAGTGAATATTTCCATTTCTACCAAGTCCATCCCGTAACAGACATATTTGAATCTATTCTTCCAGCTTGGTAGAGGATATTTGAGTCTCTGCCCCATGTTGTTTCCTGCTAACACACAGCAGGGATGTTCAGGAGCTTTCCCAGCATGCATCTCTCTAAGGCCCAGCCTGAGTCCCACCTCTCAGACTAAAATGTTGGAACTAAAATTCTGTCATGTTGATGACAGAAACTTAGCCTTTAATTGCTTCCTGATGATGCCATATGTGCGCATTTTCCTTCCCAAGGGCACTGTCAGCCTCCTGTGGCCGAGGTCACTAGGTGCCCTGGAAGATCCCGGGTTTGAGTGCTGTGCAGTGTCTGTGGGCTTCTGAGCTTGGCTGAGTTTGGGCAGAGTCCCACCTCCCATGGTGGAAGTGAGCAGAGGCTCCATGTTTAGAGGGCCCAGGCCCAGCCTGGCATGTTGTCACTGATCCACAAATGCTCATTTTTCTCTTATCTCCTCTTCCACTTCGGTCAGCTACTTGATGCTCTCCAGAGCACTAGCATACTGCTAGGCATGTGGAAAACGCTCAAAAAGTACCTGGCTGATCAAGTGAGAAGCAGGCAAAAACAACAAGTTGAGAGTAAGAGAATAGCAGGAAAGAATGCAGACATTCTCAATGACTAAGACCCTGAGCAACAGGAAACTTAAAGAAGCCAGACTCCTACAGCTTCTCAAGGTTCTAGGAGCAGCGAAGTCTCCCTGGGCTGTGTCGCTGAGGCAGGGAGCAGTTTGTAGGCTGCTCTCCCAACTTGCTCCATCCCTCTTCCAACCTAGCTGTGTGTGCAAGAAAAGAATGAACGAAATGGAAAATACTGAGCAGAAAGAGTGGACAGAGGGAAAACCCAAGATCGAGCTGGGGGACACTGAGGCTTGCAGTCTCCTCAGTTTACCTGTCCTGTGACTCAGCGTTTGATAATGGAATACCAGCTTTTATCCAGACCCCAGGCAAAGTTGTAAGAAAGACATGGAGATCTTATATGCCCATTCCCTTTTGAGCTCCTCCCTGAACCTCGGACCCTCTTGATTGCTGGATGGATGCCCTGGACCCTCCCTCCTACTGCTTTCTGGCAGGCCTCATCCCTGTCCTGCTAATGTGCTAAAGTAGGTGACATGGGGGAGCCATCATGAGCTCCAGAGCCAGGTTGGGGCCCAGTCCTGCCACATACTAGTTTTGTTACCTTGGACAAATTACTTAACTTCTCTAAGCTCAGGCTTTCTAATAAATACAGTCGGCTCTCCATATCCATGGATTCTGCATCCATGGATTCAATGAACCACTGATCAAAAATATTTGGAAAAAAAATTGTCTCTGTACTGATCATGTACAGACATTTTCCCTTGTCATTATTCCCATACAATATAACTATTTACATAGTACTTACTTTGTATTAGGTTTTATAGGTAATGTAGAGATGATTTAAAGTATGCAGGAGGATGTGCATAGGTTCATATGTAAACACTATGCCATTTTATATCAGGAACTTGAGCATCCATGGATTTTGGTATTTGCTGAAGGTCCTGGAACCAATCTTCCATGGATTGGTATCCAAAACAGGGGTGACAGAGGTAGGAAATGGCTTGTAAGGAGGCTACAGGCAGCTGCCAGCAATACTGTCCCCTCCCCCTTTACATTGGCTTAATTCCATCTGGGTGGGTGGCAGCTGGGACTGCCCTAATTACATTAATTCATACTGAGGTTAGTGAATTTAACACTTCCAGGGAAAATTTGCATTTTAAAAGCTAAATTTCTCAATCTAAGTAAATACCTAATGCAGATTTAAGTTTAGATTTTTAAGGCAGGGCCCTTTCTGTGTTACTTGCCTATATTTGACCCACCCTAGCCCCACCCCCCGGTCTTATCCCCCAGCCCTTCCACTTTCAAAAAGAATGCAGGAATTCTGCCACTTTTCACCAATTTACTATGCACTGGGACTGTGGGGTTGACCCCAGAGCATACTAAGGGCAGTACTTACATGTTTATCTGGAATTGGGTCTGTGATTAAAGAGATCCCCAGCATGGTGAGAAGACTAACCACAAAAAGGATCATGGTAAAATAGAGGTAGTGCACGCCACAGATGAACACAGGGCACTTGCTGTTTCCTGTGCAGCTCCAAGGTTCGTAGACCAATTTGGCCACCATTCCAATGAAGCCAATTATAATCCCGACAATCAGCCCCCAGAAGGCACTCTGCCAAAGAAGGAACCTGACAGTCACCTGGGAGGAAGATGGATGATGAGACAAAGCATCTTCATCCTCACTTCCCTGACTAGCTGAGTTCTGAAGTTAAACCCATCATAAGGTTTCGAATACCTTGCAGAAGAAGAGTGTGGGCAACAGTGAGGAGATGAAAAACCTGAGACTCTTGCACTCCCTTAGGTCAATCAGAGAACTTAAGAAACATTGGTAACACTTTTAAGTTGGATAATAAATAGGCATCCCAAACAAAATGTGCCCCAAAAGAACCTGGCCTTCCCCATTTCTGTAAATGGCACCTCCATCTCCCACATTACTCCAGTTGAAACCCCAGGAGACATCCCTGGTTCCTTCCTTTCCATTCTGCCCTACCACCAAACCATCAGCAAATCCTGTTGGCTCTGCCTCCAATATGTATGCAGAATCCAACCACTTACCATCACCTCTATGGCTACTGCCCTAACCCGAACCACCATCTCTCTCACACAGGTGGGGCTCTCTACCTGGTCTCCTGCTTGCCCATTGTCCCCACAGAATCCAGAATGGTTTCTCAAAGCATACACTAGAAAATGCCATGCCTCTGCCTAGGTCCTCCAATGGCTTCTCATCACCTGCCATCAGAATCAAACCTCAGCTCTGTACCATGATTGATCTCATCTGGCTCCATCCCATACTCTCCTCTTGGTGGTCCCACTCTAGCCATTGTCACCTTCTTCCAGCATCTCGAACCTTCCCTCTTTGCTCTTGGCTCAGGCCTTTGTACTCACCCTTTTCTCTGCTTGGGTCTCTCCCTAGATCTCGGTATTTCTGGCTCATCCTTCAAGTTTCAGATTTAAGGTCATTTCTTTAGGAGAGGCCTTCTCCCACCACCTTAGCTAATGTCCTTGTCCAACCTTCCTCACCCCTGCACTCCCCCACCAGCGCCTGCCCCGCCACCTTCCATGATCCTTTTTTATCTTTTAAACAGCACTGCATCACTATTAGAAATCTTTATCTGTTCACTGGGTGTCACCAGTCTCCTTCAACTGGACTGTCCACTCCACAAGAGTAAGGACTTGGTCTTGGCTTGGGAACTGTATCTGAAGCCTCACTCAGGTGGGGATGGAGGTCAGAGGAGACAGAAGATACCACATGTGGGCAAGCATCTTGGGGAAAGAGATAAACCCCAAATCTAGGCAGAAGATCTACAGGAACCATTCAATGAAGAAGATGGGCAGAAGCCAGATGAGCATGCCATTTGAAACAGGGTGGGAGAGAGGGCCTGGAGTCGTTTTCTAAGTGAAAGAGTGTACGTGCAATATGCCTGCAACCTTGGATTGGGTTAGCGGGAGAGCAACTGATCAGGGCTGTGTTTTCCTTGGTGATAGGCCCCAATACCCAGAGGCTGGTGACATAGGTGGGAGGCACAGTCCCATGACTGCTTGCCCCTCTTGCCCATGTCTTTCTCAGAGGAGCAAAGAGAAGCAACTCTGGGATCCCTGGGGCCCAGCACTCTTCCTTTACATTCTTGGTGCTAAATTGAGTTCTGCTGAACTGGCTGGAGCAGGGAGCACTAGCAGGTTGGTCTAGAGGACTGAACACCTGAGATGAGCCCGGGAAGAAGCATCAACCATGTGGAAGAATAAAAAGATATTTTTGGACCGAGGTCAAGGGGTTGGGTCCTCATACTAGCTAGATGCCAAAACAAACGAACAAACAAAATGTTTCTGGCAAAGTAAACAGACCATGCAAATGACGAGAGGCCAGGGAAGGTGCAGGACAGTTCAGCAATCAGTATTGCAAGTTGCTTGGAGGGGCTGAGACCTAGAGGCTGTGTATGGAGAAGGCAAGTCCCCGGAGGTAGGCAGGGCCAGATCACAGAGTGCCTCAGGCACTGTGCTCAGGAACTCATGCAAGGCCCAGCTACTCACGGATGTTAGGGGAAACAAGATTTAAAATATGACTCAAAAAAAAATTCTGGCAAACTATGTTTTCAAAGTCTTATTGATGAAATGATCAAGCCATTAATTGGGATTTTTACTTGGTCTTAAGTGTCACCAAAAGAAAGGGTCAAAATAATTATCTCCTCACTGCAGGGAAGGGGGGAGGAGCCCAATACTGTATATCCCCCCATGAGTGTGAAATCTCTGACCGTGACACATCTATGTACAAGGGTCATAGAAGAATATTGTCTTACAGTGTGAGGGAGAATTATTCACAATTTTGCAACATCTATGGCATGGCTGAAAGTGGATTACATCACAAAGGGAGGGATATGAGTGCTCTCCTTTTCCCTCCATGCATAAAAGGGAGGTGGGCCAAATCTGCCTAGGAGGAAATCATCTCTCAGAAAGCAAATAATGCCTCAATGTGAACTGAAGCATAAGAGACCCTCCCAGGGCAACTCTTGCAAAGGCAACTACAATGTGAAGGCAACCCCTCACATCATTCCATGTGGTGGTCATGCCAACACCTACCTGCTCATTGACTCTTTTGCAGAATATGGCAAGCAGAATGACAGCAGCAATGGGTGGTGTCACATAACTCCTAATTGCCTGTGTGTATTCAAACAGTATTTCACTCTGAGCGGTTTCCGTAATAGGGACCAAGGCAATGGTGACAGCAAGTAAGACTATAACAAAAAACCTGTAAATTAAACCAATAGTCAATGACAATTTGATAAGGTTTTTTTCTTGCCAATAAAATATCTACAAACCATAAACTAGTAATTCAATTATTCCTTAATTTAAATGCAGGTGCTCATTCATAAGTATGGGGGCAGAGGAGAGAGCCACACCCTTAAACACAAATGGATGACACAAGGCTGCAGACAAAAACCCATCAACTTCTGGACAAATAAAACTGAGCATCTATTTGCCTGTTACTGGATAATTCATAGATTTTTATCAAACTTGGAGAGTATGTTTGAGGAAGTCAGGCTTGAAATATTAATACATGGAAAATACTAATTTCTTGAGGAATAAAAGTTCAGACACATTAATATGGCAAATGATTTTAAAGATTCCAACAACTTAAGTTCAGAAACTTATTACTCAAATTTTGCTGAAAATTTTAAGAAACTGGGTAGAGGCTACAAATGTTCATTTTTTTTTTTTTGTCTTTTTCCGTGTCCGGCAACGGATCGCAACCCTCAGTGTTTCCCCC